ATATTTATTTTATATATTTATATGCCATTTAACAAAGAAAAATCAACCAAAAAAATGAGTTCGCGTGTCACCTCTGACACGCGTGTCATAGGTTCGCCATCACTGCTCTAGACACTGAGTCAAACCAGCGAGGGCTAAGTTGAATTTTCTTAAAGGAATGAAGTTCTGACCCTTGCTACAATGTGAATGAACCTCAGAAACAGCAGGCAGCCAGTCACAAAGGGTCCTGTATTGTATGATTCCAGAGTCATTTTGGATGAGAGATCCAGGACAGGCAAATCCACAGAGACGGAAGGCGGGTGGGTGATGGCTGGGGCTAGGGAGGGAACTGGGGGTGACTGCCCAAATTGAGGTGGTGGGCAGGGTTTCCAGTAACCCCTCCACCATGGGAACACACACATGTGTTTTGATGACATCACTCCTCTCTGTTAAGTAGGCTTGTGCAATCTTATAGCTTTAAAGTATGGAACGCTGTAATTTCTCTGATATGACTTGGTGTTAAGATGAAAGGGCTCCCCTCAAAGAAGCTACCAGGAGTCTTCCCATGCCCCGTACCTGTCTCGCAGGTGAGGTCCGGCCACTCTGAGTGGAGAGGTGGGAGGCTGTCCTGCGGGCCCGCATGCTCTCTTCATCGGAGGTGTCCACGTCGGCCAGGCACTGCGAGGGGAGCTGCTCGTTCCTGACAACGCTCGCCCCTGGGGAGGGACAGTGGGTTTGGATTACTTGGGGTGAGAGACTGAAAGCCAATGGACATGTTTCCACTGCAAAAATGAGAGATTGGAGCAACTGTAGACGTGATTATATTCTTGACATTATGGGGCTGAGACCCTTCAAGCAGAGTAAGTTCCAGCAAGGAACTTCAGGACACAGAGGTGGCCCGGCGCTCACCACGGCCCAGACGGTGTGAAAGCCACGGTGCCAACGCAAATGCCCTGTAATTGCACCACACGGAGCTCCAGGTGTGGGGTGTGGGTCCCAGAAGTTTCCAGGAGTGGAGGTGACTTTAGGAAGTCTTTCCACACTGGTCACCGTGGGCTGTTTTTTGCCAGAACGGTGATGGGCTGATGCTAGGGGCATGGGTTACCTGGGGTGTGGCTGGAAATGCTGATCCTGGGCCCCAGGGGGGAAAGCTCACCATCTCCACCTCTTCACCCAAAAGTACCGGCCTCCACAGAGCCGCCTGGAGATGGGTGAAGGCGGAGCCCTCAGGGTTGGCCCTCACGTGGAGGGCACCTCGCATACAACACTGCACGGGAAAGTCACGTGTGCAGGAGCCATGTCTGCACCTGCTGTGGGCGGCCGTGTGAGTTCCGCTGACAATCTGAATGAGCTTGTGGCCTGGGCGCAGGGGGGGTGGGGGGGGGGTGCGCCAGCCCTGCTGACACTGGTTTCAGCCTCGAGACCCTGTGCTGAGGACATAATGAAGCCTGGACAGCTGGCCACAGTGAGATACTGAATGTGTGTTGTTTTAAGCTGGTACGTTTGTGTAATTTGTTACCAGCAGTAGTTAACAGGTACGACCTTCTCACTTAATATCTACAAGGGTGGGCTGACTTAGGCATTGTAACCCTTTTCATAACCAGGACACTGAGGCACGGGGGCTGAGCGGCTTGGTCAAGCAGCACCCCATATTCCATCAAATCCCAGACTGTGCAGTTGTTTGATGCTCTATTGGGAAAGCAATAATATTGCCCATCACACTCCCACACATGCCTTTCTTAGCACACTCCCTGTGACGAGCTCCCAGGGTAGAGATGGGGGAATGTGCCCTAACTGGTTTGGCTCAGTGGATAGAGCATCGGCCTGGGGACTGAAAGGTCCCAGGTTTGATTCTGGTCAAGGGCATGTACCTTGGTTGTGGGCATATCCCCAGTAGGGAGTGTGCAGGAGGCAGCTGATCGATGTTTCTCTCTCATCGATGTTTCTAACTCTCTATCCCTCTCCCTTCCTCTCTGTAAAAAATCAATTAAAAAAAAAAAAGATGGGGGAATGTGTCTTGGCATCAGTGAGGTAGGGTAGTGGGTCTGCAGCCTGGGCTTGACTCAGAACGGCAGGCCTCCCAAGAGCCTTTTCTCAGCCTGATACCGTCTCTGTACCTCCCCACCTTGTCCCCCAGCCCCACCCTACCACCGAGCCCGCAACCTGGGTGATTAGGGACCAGGGGAGGAGATGAGTGTGTCCAGTCTGCATGCTCAGTCGATGTAGATTCACTTACTCATTGTTCATCAGGGGAGGTAAAACCCACCTCCCCCACCCAACGCCTCCAGGGTCCTAGTGGGTGCGTGGATCATGAGATTATGGTCCCTTTAATATAATGAAAAGGGAGAATGGAAAGTGGACAGACGGTGTCTTAACCACATTTCGCAGCTGCATTTGTGGATGGTTGTGCTGCATGTGTGATCTTATTTGCCCACGTCAGCAGGGAGTCTGACTGACCGCACACGCACTCCCACAGGCACAGACAACACTTCGGGATTTCATTAGGAAGCAAACTGTCTGGCAACACATTCAACTGAGCAAATCTGGGTTCTCAGCACTTACAGACTTCCCCATTCATGGGGGACCAGGCAGGTGGCACCCCCATGGAACTGCACCCTGGGTCCCCAGCGGCACCCCGAGTCCTCAGCTATGGAGATGCCCTGCCCCGGTCAGGACAGTTGGTCTGTGACCATCAGTCTGTCATTTCAGGAAGACCTGCATGTCCCTACCCTGCAACAATGTCCTCTGTAAAGGTGGCAGCGAGCCCTGGGGGTTTGGCTCAGTGGATAGAGCATTAGCCCAAAGACTGAAGGGTCCCAGGTTCGATTCCCGTCAAGGGCACATACCTCAGTTGCAGGCTGGAGCCCTAGCCCTAGTCGGGGTGCATGCAGAAGGCAACCAATCGATGTTTCTCTCTCTCCATCTCTCCCCCTACCTTCCTCTCTCTCTAAAAATCTATATACAGTGGGGCCTTGACTTATGAGTGTCCCGACTAACGAGTTTTTCGAGATACGAGCCGTCTCTTGGCCGATTTTTTGCTTTGAGTTGCGAGCTAAAATTCGGGTTACGAGGCTTCAGATATGGTGCAGCGAACATCACAGTGAACGCCACAACATCAGCCCAGCATCACGTGTCTCACTCGTTCACTTTTGATTTGACATATGAGTAATTTGAGTTACGAGCTCTGTCACGGAACGAATTAAACTCGTAAGTCAAGGCCCCACTGTATAGATAAAAAGGTAATATGCTAATTGGTCCTAACGGTGTCCCAGTCACACCGTTCAACAGGCTGTGCATGCACAGGAGCTGGTGGGCGGGGATGGGGGTGGGGACTTGCACCACCGGGACATGAGGCTGCTGCGGGGGGTGCCCCCCCTACCCGGCGGAGGCGTGCGCAGGCCTGCAGTGTCACCTGGCCCGGATGGGGGCATCAGGACGGGGCCGGGGCCTCGGTGGAGAGCTCTCAGCACTCCTGCGCCCGGGTTTGAAGGCGTGGAGAGAAAGGGAGAACAGATGGGCAGTTAGGAGGATCAGGCCAGGAAGGGAGAACAGATGGGCAGTTAGGGGGATCAGGCCAGGAAGGGAGAACAGATGGGCAGTTAGGGGGATCAGACAAGGAGGGGAGTGCAGATAGGCAGTTAGGGGGATCAGACAAGGAGGGGAGAGCAGTTAGGGGGATCAGGCCGGCAGGGGACAGCAGTTTGGCAGTTAGGGGCATCAGGTAAGAAGGCAGGTGAGCACTGAGGAGCCAGTGCTTCTGGATTGCGAGAGGGATCCCAGATTGGAGAGGGTGCAGGCCAGGCTGAGGGACCCCCCTCCCCTGCCCCCGTGCATGAATTTCGTGCACCAGGCCCCCTAGTCAATATAATAATGTCCTTGGATGAGGACTAAAAAATAACTAAAAAAAAAATAACTAAAGGTGGCAGCAGCTGTGTGGTCAGGTCGGGGGTCAATGCTGGTTACCTGAGTGCTGCAAGGGGCACACGGAGCCCGGGGGAAGCAGGTGTCCATGAGGTTTGTCACCAGATTGGAGAGGGTGCAGGCCAGGCTGAGGGACCCCCCTCCCCCGCCCCCGTGCATGAATTCCGTGCACCGGGCCCCTAGTCAATATAATAATGTCCTTGGATGAGGACTAAAAAATAACTAAAAAAAAACAAAACAAAACTAAAGGTGGCAGCAGCTGTGTCGGGGGGTCAATGTTGGTTACCTAAGTGTTGCAAGGGGCACACGGAGCCCAGGGGAAGCAGGTGTCCATGAGGTTTGTCGGGACTGCACATGCCCGTCAATCACAGGGAAGGAATGGGCTACTTTAAATCAGTCAGTGTGTCTGCCCAAATTGGGGTGGTGGGCAGGGTTTCCAGAAACCCCTCCACCATGCAGAACCCAGTTGGAAGACAGTGGCCAAGGGCACCTACCAGGAGTGGCAGCGATCCCCGGGGCTGCTGGGCAGGACTCTCCTGGCAGGCAGAGCTCAGCGCGGGCATCTCGTCCGGCAGGGGAGAGGCTGTCTGTCTGCTCTTCTGGGTGGGGGTGGCACCCAGAGGCCCTGGCATCAGCCTCCTGTAGGACCATGGCCTCCTGGGAGGCAGCCGCCTCCGAGCAGGGCTCACCTGTGAGGGCCTGAGCACATGGGGCCTGTCAACCGCTGGAGGGTTTGGCCTTGGGGCAGCTCCTTGGCGCGTGGGTCTGTCTCGTCCACATCCGGAGGGCTTCCAGGCATCGTCTGCTGACTGAGAACCACACACCTGCCCTCCGGCCCTTACATCGCAGTTCCCTTCAGTTTCAGAAACCGAGCTTTCGTGGCCTATTCTGCATCCTGTCTCCAGAGAAGGAGGTTGGGGCCTGACCCCTGGGCCAGGTATCACACAAGGCGACAGAAACACTTCTGACGGCCTCGGGGCATAGACCAAACCCAGAGACCAAAGCCCTGAGCAAGTGGGCAGGAAGTGTGCGTGCGTGTGTGTGCGTGTGTGTGTGTGAAGGTCAGAGAGGCAAGAGTGGGTGGGGGTGGGGCAGCCCCTTGGCTGTGAGCCCCACACCCCTCCCCACCCTTCCTGGGGCCTGGAGAAGGTTCCCTCTACTGTGCCATTGGTCCCCAAGGAAAGGGGGCGCTGAGGGTGTCAGGGAGCCACATGCCCCCACTCCTTTCCAGCTTGGCTGTGCCGGGGCTGGGGCAGGAAGGAAGTCGTCCCAGGCCCTGGAGGCCGAACAAAAGGGAGACTGCACCCCCCAGATTTGCAGCTGGAGCAGGACCCGTGGCCCAAGGCCTCTTGGGTGCTGGCTCCCTGCCCCGCTATCCCATCCTCAACAGAGGTCTGCCAATCAGCCTGGGCAGGCCCAGCTTTGCCCCAGCTGTGGCCAGGCACTGCCTGGGCCCAGGGGACCCCCAGCGTTGGGCTGAAGCTGGGCGTCACTCTGGGTCTTGTGCCCAAGCTGCATGTGCCCGGTGGGTGAAGGGCACAGCCACTGGTCCTGAGAGTGACCCTGAGAGGGGAGATCATCAGCCCTCCCAGGTGGTGGGGGCTGGAGCCTCACGGAGGGTCCCCAGACCAAGGTCACAAACCTAAGGAGTAGAGTGACCTGGCTTCTGGGTGGGCCCTGCGGATGCCACACTGCTGCTGTGATTATTAACGGCAGCCTCTTCCACTGCAGGACTATCCTAGTTTGGGTAATAAAGCCTGTGACCCCCGCTAATAACACAGAGGTCCAGACACGTCCAACTCCTGGACAGACGCCGGTCCTCCGTCTGCCTTCCCGAGTGACGGGGCTCTGCCTTACTTCCGGGACAAGCACCTACCCTGAACCCTCCATGCCCCTCACTCAACTGCCCTGCACCCCACACAGCCATGCTTTTCAGAGGGTACTTGAGAGCCTAGTCCTTGGAGGGTGTGACGCTTCTGGATCCTGTCCCTGACCTGAGGCTCCCAGGCAGGGTGGGGCAGGAGAGTACACTCACCTGCAGGCTGTCCGGGGCCGCTGGGACTGAGGATAGGCTCGGGGAGTGACTGCAACACCCCGCGGAGTCGTCAGAGTCGGCCTCGAAGTCCAGGCTGTGAATGGGGAGGAGGCGCTTTTTCTTGGCGGGCACAGGCTGGGCAAGAGGAGAGTCAGGGTCAGTGGACAGGGAGGACCAGACGCCCTCACCCCGGACGTGGGGTGGGCCCTCGAAACAAACCAGATGAGCCCCAGCTCGGAAGCCGCACCGAAAGTCTGCCCAGAGCCCACCCACCCCTCACAGGGTCTGCAAGCCCAGCACCCCTTACAGAGACGAGCAGAAGCTGCTGATGGACACGCGGCTGCTCACACATGCCCAGGACACAGGCCCCGGAAGGCGGCAGCCTTGGGGGCAGGTAGGCTTCGGGTTCCCCACCCTTGGGGTTTTAGGCAAAAGAGGGGAGCCCGCTGGGGAGGCCGACGGGGGAGGGAGAACTTGTGCACATTAGATGCAAGGTCAGGGGTTAGCTCTGACCCCCTGACGGTCTCCATCCTTCAGACGGATGTGTAGGGAAGAGTGCAGACACTGGGGAGTGTTCTGGAAGCTTAGGAAGTGGCACAAACATACTTTTGTCATAAACAGATGCATATATTCCCCCCTCCCCCGGCCCCCAGAGCAGCCAGCTCGACCTGGCCAGCATTGCGTCTCTCTCCAAGCGGCTCCATCTATACTCATCATCGCCTGACCCACCCTTCCCTCCAACCTGCTCCCCTCCAACCTGCTCCCCTCCAACCTGCTCCCCTTCAACTGCTCCCCTCCCATCATCCTACCCAGAAACCCTAGGGGTTACTTTGCGTGTCTTTATCATCATAAATAAATTAAAAATAAGTAAAAACAGAAACAAACACCAATAAAAACAAGGCTCATGTTTTGTCCTAGAAAAAAGCTCGCAGAGTCTGAGGGACTTATGTCCCTGAAAGGTGCAAAGGCCGCCTTAGGATGACACCAGTGTGCCCTCTGGCCCCTGCCCTCCCACCGTGCTCCAGAGGGCCAGGCAGTCTGCGGGTCTAGGCAGCCTTCTCTGCAGCCTCTGCCCACCCACAGCTTGCTAGGGCTTTCTCAGGTGCCGGTGACCTTATGCTGAAAGTATTCTTCTGGTGCCAATTGCTCCGCAGAGATGGTCCGGGCGTGGCAAAGGGAGGCGGAGCCTTAGCGCTCAGGCTATAGTGGAGCCATGGGAGCACTGAGACTTTTAGGAAGTCAGAACCCAAGGCTGCAGCCCCGGGAGTGGTGGGAGTGGTTGGGGAAGACTTACTTTGCTGCCAAGGGGATGGGTCTGAGCCCCTGTGTCCAGCTCTCCATCCGTATTGGAATGCTCACTGTCTCTACTTCTCTCTCCTGGGCTTGGCTCAGGCCCACCTGCAACAGACACCTGCATGACTCCATCTAGGGAGAAATAGATTGGAGGCAAACCCTTTGTCTCCCCCCCACCCCCGCACCTGTCCTTCCATCCACTCACCCTCCCACCCACTCATCCATCTGTTCCTCATCCATCATCATCCATCCATCCACCATCCACCATCCATCCATTTTCCATTCACCATCCATCCATCGAAAAACATCCAGGCAAGACCCTCTGCTGACCTTACAATGACCTATCTGAGCATCAGTTAAAGCTGGTTCTCATCACAGCAGAAAACCAGTGCTCTGCATCAGTTTTATCAGGGTCACACCTGCAGGTATTCACCCCACAGTTACCGACCCCTTGAAGGAGGCTTAGAGCTAAGTCTTGTTTTTCCCAAACAAACCACTTCTCCCCCAGTTTCTTATCAGCAGGCCCAGCCTCAGGCACAGCTGGGCGGGAGTGAGGCTCAGCCCCGGGGCCCTCTTATTCCTTTCTCTGCCCCTCCTCTGCCCCCAGACGTGAGCACCAGCCAGCCAGCTGGGGGCCCCTCTCTGAAGAGTGAGTCTTGAAACTCATGTCAAACAGCCAGACCGAGGGCATTGTGACGTGGACTCTGTCTGCATCGAGGGAATGTGGACATGCGTTTCCAAAGGCCCAGGTGTGTGTGACCGGTCAGGGTGGTGTCCCTGCCCCTCTGCTCGAATATGAGCAGATCTCCATGACCCTTTGGTTATCAGCCTCTTACATAACCCTCTAAACCTGGAACAAGGCTTTGATATGAACCCACCTCTGACTACTGAGTCACGGGTAAAGAAACCCAAAGGATTTCCCATGTTCCTGACATGGAGCAGAGATTTCTTGGTGGGGAGGTGGAAATGAAGATAAAAATGTCTGAGCAAGAAGGACTTACTGTGGACATCGGGGGAGCTTTGTGTTCTGCCAGACAAACCTACAACCAAAGAGGAGGGGCTGAGAAGAAAGACGCCCTGCGGGGAGCTGTGAGCTCAAGGACAGGAGAGAGGAGGCTCCTCCCATCCACCTCCACCCACACTGCTTCCTGCAGCTCCTGCCGTGCAGTCCTGGGGCCTCTGGGAAACCGCCGCTCGGCTGGCCCAGGGCGCCCCACAGCTGCACAGGGCCTGCAGCAGGTCCTGGCTGGGACTGCAATCGTTTGTTTGTCTACTTTTATTAGCCATACAGCTTCCCCAGCCTTGTGCTCCTTCCCTGCACCTTTCTCAGGGGATTGTGTTGGGCCCCCCAGCAGGGAGACAGTCCTGGGGGATGTCACTGTAGGGACCTGAGACCTGCCTCCGGGGGGCCAGGAGCCTCTGTTGTGGCTGGAAACAGGGTTCCTGCTGCCCCACAGCGCCACCTCCTGGCTCTCAGTGACAGTTTTGAAATTGGCAGGCTCCTGGCCACTTTGACTTACTCATTGAGCTCTGGACCCTGTGACCTTCCACGTCAGCGGTTCTCAACCTGTGGGTCGCAACCCCTTTGGGGGTCGAACGACCCTTTCACAGGGGTCGCCTAAGACCATCAGAAAACACATATATAATTTCATATTGTTTTTGTGATTAATCACTATGCTTTAATTATGTTCAATTTGTAACAATGAAATTGGGGGTCACCACAACATGAGGAACTGTATTAAAGGGTCGCGGCATTAGGAAGGTTGAGAACCACTGTTCTATGTCATCCAGATTCCTGAGCCCACCCAGGTCCCTGGCAATCAGCACCTCCCATGGTGGGGCCCAGGTCCTCAGGGCTCTGATGTGGCCTGTGGTTTCCTGCCATGCGCAGCCGACTTTGGGGGTGAGATTTCAGATGCTTTGTAGTGTGGCTTTTCCTGTGCTGCCTGTGGCTCCTGCCCCTGCGCCCTGCGGAGGGCCCAGCCAAGCTCCTTCGGCTGCAGGAAGACCCTTCACTGGCTCCTGGTTGGCGGAGCGGGCATGGGAGGTGGGACTTTTTTGGGCTCCAGCCTGAGACAAAGATATTAGCCCAGAAGAAGCAGCTTGAGGAAGAAAGGAGAAAGAACCCCCAAGAATGGGGAGACAGTCCCTCCCATGTTGCTGGGGCCCTCCTAGTCACGTCTGTGGTCTCAGCGTGGTTGTCAGGAGGCCTCTCTCACTCTTAAAAATGTCCTGGTTTGGAGGATTTATCAATGTGTCGCCCTCCAAATACTCCACCCAGGGAGGGAGGACCTGGGGACATAAAGCACAAACTAGGCCCGGCTATTCCATCAGCTGCCGAGTTTGAGAACCTTGGCTGTGAGTTCTCCACTTGCTACAGTGCTCTGAGAAAACACGATTTCAGAGGGTGGGGATGTCAACATGCAGGACTTCCCAGGGCCAGGCCCGGCCAGGGTGCAAAAGGCTGCACCTCACTCAGCAAGCAGCCAACCCCATCAAAACACCAGGCACAGGGACTGACAGGTGCGCAGACACAGGTGCCAAAGGAATCTGCTTGGTCCTGAAACAGTAAAACATGCCTGGGAGCAAAACGGGTTCCCAGACCCCACCCTTCCCTCCACCCACTCCTCACCTCCCCCTGGCAGCCGCCCGCAGAGGGACCGGATCACTTTGGCACTTCCGAAGCGCTTGAAGCGGGCCCTCACGTGCCCGTAGTACCACTCCAGGGAGCCCATCTTCACGACTCTGCAGAGAGATGGAGCTCAGGCCTGCAGCACTGCTGTGCCCAACCACCACGCACACGTGCCCACCATTCTTCAGATAGCCGCCCCCCCCCCCGAAGGGACAAGCCACCCCTCAAAACCATCAGGGTCCCTGGATCTCCAGGCCCTGCTCACCTGGCCAGGTGACAGGGGTGGCAGAGCCAGCCCTCCTCCTCGGGGTGGGCGTGGCTGCAGCCTTGGCAGGTGAAGAGGCGGCAGTCCAGGCACTGCCGTTTGGGGGCCTCCAGGAGTCGGTAGGGCTGCAGGCAGTGGGCACAGTGGGTGTCGCTCAGGAGGGCTGCATCGGAAACCAGCTCCCTCTGGGAGCTCTCCTTCTTCACTTTGCCCTTGAGGCCTCTGAGGGAAACAGCAGAAACAAGGAATACGTTGGACATCTTGTTGCAACAGTCTTTGAATGTGTGAGCACACACACGGGATCCTTCTCACACACCAACATGCTGGATTCAAACGTGCATATGGGTAGGTGGGAACTTATTTTTATAGACATGAAATGGCATTTAAACCTTTCTGTGACTGTTCACAATTGCGTATTTTCCCAGGATGCACATGCATGACTTTCACGCGTTGTCAAAGGGGCCACAAACCACAAAGGTTCTTAGTCACAGGCTGGGGCAGGTCCCACCGTTGCCTGCACCACCTCACGTAGCTCAGCATAACAGAAAGAGGCGGTCAGGGGTCCCGGGCCCACTTCAGGTTGGAGGTCCTGGGCCCACATTCCTTCTCCAGCTCTGAGCTGGAGCCCTGAGCTTGCTGACGCAGAGCTCAGAGCTGGGGAACCGAGCTGAGGTGTCCTGGTTGGCTGGGTGAGTGTGGACATGGTCATGAGCATCTGGTGTCTAGTCTTCCTGAGATGGGTGGGTGGGTTGGTGGATCAGGCTGGTGGTTCTGGTCGGGCCACATGGTTCTCCAGAACCCATCTGTTCCTAGTGTAATTGTGTAAGAAGAGTTTAGAGAAGAGAAAGACGCAAGCGGTCGATGAGCTGGACAGGGCGGAAGTCACAGAGAATGCAGAGAAAAGGCTCATTAGATGGCGGGTGAGGCCGACCCTGTGCCCCGTGAGGCCCTGGCCAGTCACGTCCACTCTGCCACTCTGACCTGAGCTAATGGCCCTGAGCTGAGGACAACACCCACTGGGTGCATGTCAGGCTGGCACCCTGCAGAGAACGCCGATGGGTCACTGCACCCTCCCTGTCATGGTCACAGAGTCCCGAGGGCAAAGCCAGCGGGCATTTTCTCAATAAGTGGTTTGGGTCTCTCCCAGCAAGGGAGCACGTTGAGCTGACTCCCACCTTTGTTCCCGAAGAGCATGGCTAGGATGGGTCCCTTGGAGGGTGTCCGGAGCAGGAATCGCTCAGTCCCCGGAGTTCCAGGAGGACCACAGTCCTAGACCATCGGGGCTGCAGTAACAGCTTCCTGGTGAACCCGCCAGCTCAAACTGCCTGGGAAACGTGCCCCCAGATAATGAACATGTCCCCTTTGTTCTATCTCAGAGAACGTCTGCCAGATGTAATATTTTAGTTTCAGATGAGATCAAATTAATCTGTTCTTAGTGACACAATTGGACAGACACAGGTGCCATTGTCCTCTGAGAAGGCTGCACAGTGGCGGAGCCCCAGAGGTTGGTGAGGCTGCGGGCAATGGAGGGATTCCGAGGAGCTCCGGAGACCAGCGCTGGATCAGGCAGGGTTGACCGCACCTCACCTATTTCCCTCTCCCAACGTTTATGAAAATACTCACCAAGTTAGACACAAAAATAAGACTCCTGTCTCGGCTTTGAAACCATATGCAACACACACACACACACACACACAAACACACACACACCACTCACACAAAGGCCAAGTGGTTGTAAAATCTAGGGGGATACTGTCATCCACCGACCACAGTCTTGATAAAGCCGCATGGACAAGGCCAAGTCTTGGCCTCAAACAGAAGATCACAAGGCCCCTGGAGCCGGGGGGGAAGGATCCGGTGGCCTCCGTTTCCACTCTTGTTGTATCTGCATCAGCCAGAAAACCTAGAGGCCACCCTCTGCTGATGGGGCCTTACCCGGCCTTCTCCATCGAGGCAGAGCTGTACCTCGGGCCCCTCCCAGCAGGAAGAAAGACGAGGGCATGTGGAGGCACCCTGCATCACAGAATGTGAAGTCCTCTTAAATAAGAGCCCAGAAGAGGCCTGGGGGTGGCTGGAGACTGATACGTTTCGGGTACTGAATTGGGGGAAAGGGTAATTATATTCCACTCAGACTCTTTCAAGCATAACATCCCTTCTTCAGAGCTGGAGAACAGGAGGGGATGGAAGAGGAGGCCAGTGGGGGTGCAGCAGAGGAACCCCAGGTGATGCCTGCAGCGCAGGGCACACCCACCCCACCTGGAGCTTCAGATCGGGAGGAGGTGAGTGGGGCCAGAGCCACCACACGCCGACACCGGTTGACCAGATGTCACTGCACTATAGCAGGCAAAAGCCCAACACGCAGCTACAAGTGAGAGCCACCTCTGGAATAGAAGACACCTCGAATGGGATTCACTGTCAGAAACCGAGGAAGACTTGAAAGGAGTCTGCCTGGTGTGCTAATTGGGGCGAGAGATGCAGGAGCAGGAGATAAAGAGCCAGGCTGAGATGGAAGGAGGTAGTGTCAAGGGGTTGCTGTCCTGTGAGGGCAGGTGGATTTGATGCAAGGATTCCCCTTTCAAGACAGGAGGAGGAAGTGATGGGATGTGGAGGGAGAAGGCTAGAGGGACATGGAGATGTCACACCCCCATGTCCTCACTCTCCCCCTCTTGGGGTTGAATCCAGTGGGGAGTGTGGTGAAAACGTGCAAGAGTACTGGGGACAGACCAGGACATCAGGGGTTGGTGGCACACCCCTGTGGATGGAGCTGGGGAGGACCGCGTGGTGGCTGTAGCTCCCAGGCCAGCCCAGACAGCCAGGCCAGCCTGGCCAGGACTTCTGCTCTCCAGCACTTGTGCTGGCTATTGGGGTGAATCCCTACCCTGAGACCATGCCCCAGCAGGACAGCATGAGGTGCTGAGAGGACCAGGGGGCGGGCAGGGTCTGGGGGTTGGTACGAAGAGGCCACAGCATGCAGGGTAGATGGTGGGGGTCAGGATCTCAGTGTGGGTGCCGGCCATGACCATTCACTCACGAGCGATGGTCCCTACCCTGGAAGCAGACTTGACCCTCCACTCTGCATCAGGGACCAGCCAGGAGCCAGTGGACAGTGTGTGGAGCCAAGACCCCATCAACTCTGTCACCTTGAGGGCCATGGGCTCCTGCCGGTCACCCACGCAGACTTAGCCAAAAGCAGGGGTGAGTAGAGGTGCTCTAAAGAGAAGACTGTACCCAGAGAAGAGGTCAGAGCAGCGCCTGGGATACGGAACCCACAAGCTTATGAGTTCTTGCTGACTGAGGGTGGGGACCCACGGGTGAGGTGAGGTAGGTAACAAATGAGCTGGCTGTTCTCTGCACAGCTTGGCTGGGTGGGAGTGAGTCTCGGCCCTGCCACAGTACAGCGATCACCTGAGAACACACGAACGCTCGCCGACCAGGACACAAGAGGAGCCGGACCTTCTGATTCTTTTTGACCACACACACCTGGACACAGCCATTCAGTTACAGGAAGCAGTGAGTTCTGAGCAGGCGACGTCTAATGGAACCAAGTCAGGCTGGCTCATGGCTTTGCTGTCAGGCTGGGCAGCAGGTTCCTGTGGCTGCTCTAACACATTTCCACAAAGGTAGTGGCTTAAAGCAACACCAGTTTATTACCGTACAGTTCTGAGATCAGAGGTCTGACCTGGGTGTTCCTGGGCTGAAATGGAGTTGTGGGCAGGACTGTGATCCTTCTTGGAGACTCCGGGACCTGTCCCCTTTCTTCCCAGCTGCCAGGACGCCTGTATCCTCTGTCCGGCCCTTCCTCGGTCTACAGAGCTGGCCGTGGTGGCTGAGTTCTTCTCACAGGGACTCTCTATGGCTCTCCTGTGCTCCGGCCTCCTCCTTTCTCCCACCTGTCCCCATGTCCAGGTCCAGGGTCACCTCCCCAATCCAGGCCCAGGGTCACCTCCCACGTCCAGGTCAGCTGTTCAGCAGCCTTAATGGCACCCGCAGCCTTAATTCCCTTTTGCCATGTAACCTAACATTTTCGCAGGTTGGGGGGACCGGGACGTGGATGTGTTGGGGGGCTTATTATTCTGCCAGAGTGCTGAAGGGAAAGAAAGTGAGGCCTCGCTCCCAGGCGAGAGATTCCCAAATATAAAACCCACACCCGGCCCCTCCTGAGGGCAGCCTGAGGTGTGTGTCCTCCAGAGGCTGGGAAACCAGGGTCAAGTCCGTCCCCGAGGAGGGGCTGTAGCCAGAGAACCAAGTCACAGAGAAGAGACAGAGTTATTAACAGTAAGGCGACCACAGTAAACCTGCCTGTCAGAGGTCGCCGCTGAAGGAGGCAGACCTGGTGTAATGAATATCGGGCAGCAGTGATGGGAATCTAAGCCCCTGGCATCCGAGCAGACGTCGGGAATTAGTGTGGGAAATGGAACTTGCTGGCGCTCTCCGAGGTCCTCTGAAGAGAATGACCGATGGCGACTAAAATGATAAAGGGAACAGTGGTGGTGAACGAGGCACCGAGAGAGCCCCCGAACCTCCTGAGCGATCTTGCACCCAAACTCCGGGCCCTGCTGCCTGCTCACTCCCTGCTCCAGCCCCTGTCTATTCAGCCTGGAGTCCTGTCTGGGTGCCAAGTGGCCCGCCTGGTGGTGACTTCAAATTCCTACTGTTGTCGTTGTTGTTATTATTTGTTTTTAAGGTGAGCCTTGGTCTGCCATGCCTCACGCTGGCCAATGTTGCATGATTATCTCAGGAATGCAGGCCTGTTTGCAGACGTTACGGATGCCTGTCACCAGCTGTTTGCCTTTCCGGGGCAGACTCCCAGGCCTAATATTTGACTTGTGGGCCGGCCTCTGAAACAAGGCATCGGTTAGGTAAGCTGCCATCCTCGCCCAGGGGCGTGAGTCCCCAGCTCCGGCTCTGCAGTGTCATTCTCTGGGTTTAGGAAAACCCAGTAATTCTAAACACAGGTTAGAGGCCCCTCGATAGCGCAGGGAGCGTTACTGAGACGACCTCAGATGAGCAGAGAGGAGGCAGGGCGCAGGTCAGCTGTGAGTACGTGGGCCCCAGCGTGCCAGGTGGAGGCCTGCTTCTGCCCCAGGTCCAGGCTGGCGGGCCACCGCGGGGCTCTGCGTCTTCCCGAGGGAGGGGGTGAAGAAGCTGGGACGACTGGCCAGATGCTCTCCTCAAGAAGTTTACCTTGGTGCTCCTTTGTGTTTATGTGCCATTAAACACGAAGCATGATTATCTATGTGTACTTAAAGCCTTTTTAATACCCAGTTACCATGAATGACTGCAGAACACTTACAAGATAAATAATACAAAGCGGTATGCAGCCAGGGCCCCACCCATATTCCCCCTGTTAGCAATTCCTGGATATTCTTTAGAGCCGGGGACTGTCTGGTCCTCAGTGTCCTCATCTGTGACTGGGGAGAACACAGCAGTCACACTGTGATGTTGCCTGAGCAGTAAATGAGGTGTTGTGAGGTGTGGTGGCTGTTTTATTTTATTATTTTTCTCTTTCATCCATCCCCCTCTGCCCTCCCTTTGGTAACCATCAGCATGCTCTCTGTATCTGTTTTGTTTATTCATTTTTAAAAAAATTCACATGTAAGTGAAATCATATGATATTTGTCTTTCTCTGACTTATTTCACTTAGCATAATACCCTTTAGGTCCATCCATTTGGTCATAAGTGGTAAGATTTCATTCTTTTTCATGGCTGAGTAATAGTCCATTGTATATATGTAGCACATCTTCTTTGTCCATGTGTCTATTGATGGGCATCTAGGTTGCTTCTATATTTTGGCTACTGTAAATAATGCTGCAATGAACATATGAACATATAGGGGTGCATATATGTTTTCAAATTAGTGTGTTTTTTTTCTTTGAATAAATACCCAGAAGTGTTATTACTGGGTTGAATGGCAACTCAATTTTCAATTTTTTTGAGGAATCTCCATACAGTTTTCCACAGTGGCTGTATCAGTCTGCATTCCTACCAAGAGTGCATGAGGGTCCCCTTTTCTCCACATCCTCACTAACACTTGTCGTTTGTTCATTTATTGATGATAGCCATTCTGACAGGCGTGAGGTGATCTCTCATTGTGGTTTTAATTTGCATTTCTCTGATGATTAGTGATGTTGAGCATCTTTTCATATGTTTATTGTCCACCTGTATGTCCTCTTTGGAGAAGTGTCTATTCAGGTCCTCTGCCCATTTTTTATTGGATTGTTTTTTTTAATTTGGTGTTAAGTTTTACAAGTTCTTTATATGTTTTAAATATTAACCCCTCAGCAGATGTATTATTGGCAAATGTCTTCTCCCATTTATTAGGTTGTTCTTTTTTTTTTTTTTTTTTTTTTTTTTTTTTTTTTTTTTGCTTTGTTGATATTTTCCTTTGTTGGGCAAAAACCTTTTTAGTTAGATGTCGTCCCATTTGCTTATTTTTTCTTTTGTTTCCCTTGCCAGAGGAGATGTATCCAAAAAGAGATTACTAAGACCAAAATCAAAGAACTTACTGCCTATGTTTTCTTCTAGGAGTTTTATGACTTCAAGTCTTACATTTAAGTCTTTAATCCATTTTGAGTTTATTCTTGTATGTGGTGTCAGAGGGTGGTCCAGTTTTGCCTCTTTTGTCATAGATTTATTGACCATGTAAGTGCAGATTTATTTCTGGGCTCCTTATTCTATCCCCGTGGTCGGCAAACTGCGGCTCGCGAGCCACATGCGGCTCTTTGGCCCCTTGAGTGTGGCTCTTCCTAAGCCTTAGGAGTACCCTAATTAAGTTAATAACAATGTACCTACCTATATAGTTTAAGTTTAAAAAATTTGGCTCTCCAAAGAAATTTCAATCGTTGTACTGTTGATATTTGGCTCTGTTGACTAATGAGTTTGCCGGCCCCTGATCTAGACGAGTCTCAACTGGGCTGACTGGGCACTTCAAGTCTCTGCCACGTATCTGTTCCATGCCAGTAGCTACCTCAGGAATGTCCTCATGGAGATGACAGAAACACAACATAGAGCAAGGCCTCTCGAGTGGTAGACTTAGAAGCACCACACTTGCACTTCTGCTTCATTCTATTACCCAAAGCCAGGCACATGGTCAAGTCCAGAGACAGAGGCAGAGGACACTTCAAAGTTAAATGCCCAAGGGGGTGGATGCAGAGAGGGTAAAAGATCATCTAACCCATCAGCAAGATCTATCAATTCTACCTTAGAAATACTTTCCACACCTGTCCAATACACCTTCTATCTTATTGCTACCACCACTTCAGTTCACCATGATCTCTCTTACCTATCACCACCTGACTGCTCTGTCCAAATCTTTCTTGTCCATTCCTTCCCAGACCATTCTCAATGCAGCAACCAGAATAAACTTAAAAAGAAAACCTGCTCTGACCACTCATTTAATTAAGTCTGCCAAATGGTTTCCTATTGTTCTCAGGATAAAGGTGAAAATCCTGACTAAGGCCTGAACTGTTTTCAATTTTCAATTGAGGGGTTATTTTAAAGCAAATAGGTGAACCTGGTGAAAGGGAGAAAGAGAGTGAAGAGGGAGTGTGGGAAAGAGAGGCTTTGTAATGACTTCCATGTGAGGACAGCCTGGGA